GCACTTAATTTATACACATTCCATTGCAGAACAACATCATACAGGCCTTTGTTAAACTGGAGCAACTGCTAACAACAAATGGCTATTCGGCGGATGATATGATAATTACAAGCTGTCCCTCAGCAGAGCAGGTATCCATTTTGTTGTCCAGTGCCAGCATATTAGCCGCCGAGGGCGTGGCAAGCTTCGCAGCGGCAGCACGTAAGATAAGCACATCATCATCCGTAGAGGGTGCAACAGCTGGTAGAAAGCTAAGCAGCATATCCAACAAGGCAGAGCAAGCCCATGTGGTTGTAGAAGAGCCCGAAGGCGAGCAGACGCCGGCAGCTATAAGCACTCCAATGCCAGTGGCAGCAGACGCCAAGCAGAGCACAGTTTCCGGACAACCACAAAATGTGACTGTAGAGAAGCCAGATAACGAGCAGCAGCCCACACAGCTAAGCTCAGCATAGTATACAGAATATGTTATCCCTATGTATTCCCAATTCCTATGTATGTATTTATAAACCTAAGCAATTCAACATGTATATTACAGTTTGTTCTAACCAAGTAGAGCTAATAAATGAGCCAGTTTCTACAAATTGGGAAACTGGCTCATTTTGAATTATTTTTGCTAAGCAGCCTTAAGCGTGCTGAGAATGTGACGAAGTCAACATAAATTATCAACATTAAATATAAATTACAAACAAAATGACAATTAGTTTAATTAAAGATCTAATAAAAGGGCAGCACACAGTTGGCCGCTGGTCAAGTGTTGGATATGTTTCGTACGGTGTCTGAACTAGGAAAGTGAGCATTTATCCTTTCCATTTGCTTGCTGCGAATCGCGTCCACCCACAGTCGCTGCGCGTTGAGTATTGGCTGCGGACGTGGCGCCGCGCCGATTTGTATTAGCTGCATCATCCTGCTCCATGATGGACAAAGCTAGCGCATGCGCCAAAGCCTCGTCCTCAGTCTGAAAAATGAAAGAATACTTTAATAACTGACGTGGTTTTTATGTTCCGAGTAGGATGACATTTAAAATGATTCGGCTATTTTCTGGCATCTTACTAACAATGTAGAGGCTCCTTCTTAGAAACTAATATAATTTCATTCCAGTAAATCTTACCATATTTCCTTGTATAGTTTGAACTTGAATGGGCGTAGCAGCTGCTGCAGCTGCTAGTGGAACATTCCTTGCTGGGGGATTTGCTTGGGGTTTGCTTTGACGTCGCTTCTCGGCTGCCTGCGCTGCCATTGACCGTGTATCGGTGAATATTTTAAAAATTCCCTGAGATGTGCCCGCCGACGCCACCGGGGCAGACGATCCGGCTGCGCTCGCGGGCTTGCAGTCGTGGTCGCTGGTGTGTCGATGACGTAGACAGAAATTTAATTTGCACTGGGAGCAAAGGACGGGTATCAGCTCTTTGCGTTTACAGCCCTTCGCGTGGCAGCGATTTGTGTAGATTTTTTTGCTATCCGATTTGCATTGCTTGTCGATGTGCTGGCCAACCGTTAAATCTGGCTCAACGCCAGGAGCCGTCGGCACAGGCTCGCCGCACAACGGACATATGGGCACTTGAAAGTTCTTCTTATGGGCACCTGGACAATTGTGACGTTCGTAGTTGTAATGCGTGGCGCAGAATACCTTATCACATGAGTCACATTTAACAGGCAGAAAATCTACGAAACAGTTGTATTTGCATATAGTTTATTAAAGGTCACTTATTCCGTGTGGCAGATATTGTCGCGTCGAGGTCAAAACTCACCTAATCTGTTGCATGTGGCTTCGTTGCAGTGTTGGCCTAAATGTGGAAACTCCATTGTTGCGTACTAACGCCTTCGTTGTTTGTACTCAAGTAAATGCGTTAAATGGCTTGTGACTGTTTTTTATAGAACTAAAATTGACTAAAAATTCGAGAAAGCGCTAGACAAAATGACTAAACAAATTCGCACTATTATTTCACCATTCACACACATTAGTTATCATATGCCATTCACCACGATACGTTGACGCGGAATCTATCGATACAAAATTGAATCTTCCGATGCAACACTGAATATATCGATATAAAACTAAATCTATCGACATACAACCGAATCCATCGATATAAAACTGCAGCTATCGATATAAAACTAAATCTATCGACATTAAGACGGAATCTATCGATAAGAATCTCTGCCTATCAAATTAATCGTTAGAATTTTAAAAGCACTTCTAATGCTTTCTTTAACTATATTACACTTTTATCTTACATACATATTTACAAATTTATTTGTTAAAGTATTATATGTTGCTTTGTCATGTTACAAAAGGTGTTTCGAATATACATAAATATATATATATATAAACCAACAACAATCGTGGGAAAAAGGTTTTCCCAATTCAATCACTTAATTACATTTCAATTTCTTTCATGCATATTCATTTAATAACTGGCTTCACTGAAGTTTTTTTTTTAAATAATACCGTAGATAGATTGAGAATAATTTCGCACTTTGCGATATGTAGATTACACCAAAAGTCTAATAAACATTGATTTTTTGTATACATTTACAAAAATAAAAGCAAAATTTGCAATAATAATAATTACTGTGTACGAATAAAGTAATATATATAAATATATATATATATATGTGTGTATGTATGTATGTGTGTTTGAATGCATCGGTAATTAAAGTTGAACTTTATCTGCAAGCAAAATCGCAGCACTTGGTAACAATTATTGAGAGGAATTTAAAGCGATAGGAAATGCCCAACGGCAGCAGCAGCAACAGCGGCAACAAGTTTTTTCACTTCAAGATCAGCGCCTCCAGTTGACGACAAATTGGTCCCACAAAATTAACGCACGCACATTAGATAGGTATAGATACGAAGCGCAATGCCGCTATGCTGTGAGTTAAGCATGTTGGAAATGCATCTGGTGATTTGAATGAAAGTTAAACGATTTCTCTGGCAAATGGTGCAAACGCCTCCCAGTAGCTGATGATCTGTGTGGAGTGAAGATGGGGACTCATTTGATTAGAAATACAATTTTCGAACTGGTTATCGTATATTATTACCTGTTGTTGATGCGCCATTTGAACTTCAATGTATTTAATAATGTTAGCCTTGAAGTCTTTCACTCTGCTTAGCTCGAAACGTTCCATTTCTCTCTTGATTTCCGACGAAATGTCATCAAATTGTTGCTGACAGCGCTGCACCTTGCCCTGCCACTGTAAAATAAAGAAGAGAACATTATATTACCGCATATATTATATATCATATTATTGTAGTCCAAACCTCTTCAACCTCTTGTTGCGCCTGATCCAGCTTGTCGACACGATTGGCCAGCTCGAAGCGACCGCGATTCTCACGCCGTTTTGAAAGCTGCATCTGGGCGTATTGCCAATTCTGAAAGGCCTTTACACGTTCGTGAAAAATACACTTGATAGCGCCGAACAGCCCCAAATAGTCTTTGATAAACTCGGCGAGTATATAGAAATCAGAATTCGCCTGCTCGGAGCGCAGCAGCTCAATCTTTTCCTCCACATCGGCCAGATTCGAGAGCGCACGTGAAAGTCCAGTATGTTCCTCACAAGTGCTCAGCATAGCCGCCGATTTGGCCACCAGTCCAGTCAGCACAGACAACTCACGGCGTGAGGACACCAACGATTTAAGTGCCGATGAAAGTTTTTGCAGATTTGCATCCAAATTCTCCACTTCGGTTATCTTGTCATCGAACCACGGATCGTTCTCATCCATTTTGTACGTTATTTTGTTAACCGTCTCGCCTACTCTATTGAATAATCGAATGACGCCAGCGCCACTGAGAGCTGACGTATTAACGGCACGTGGAAGCTCCTGGTCGCTTTCCAAGAAATTTATAAAATCCAAATCCACGCGCAACACCGGATGCTGCGCAGTACGATGCACAAAACGCTCCAGTGCCGCACGCCGTACCTCAACCCATTCCTGATTGATTGGTGTGCCCGGCTCGGTTTGCTGTGGACTCATCTTTACCTTGGTGCTGCCAATAATATTTTTGGAAGGCGCCGGCGGTATAATACGACCCATGCGCAAATACTTGTTCACCAAGAGATCATGTATCCCCAAGAAATCGCTAAAGCGTCGCAAAGTGCTAAATTCGGTGCGCTTAAATTTTGGAATGTTGGTTTTCGTTGTCACTCTATATAATATCAGAAATGGCAATTAATAGGGTGAATAAGTTAGGGCACCAGCGATAAGGACAAGTGACTCACTTGTATGCCAAATACGAGCTCATGCCATCGCCAACCTTTTGGGGATCTGATATGACAATTTGAATGAAATAGTCCCCGTCGTCTGTCAGCACCTCCTCTAGATTGCTGGCAGAAATGCGACGCTGCAACATAATACGAGATTGATAAAGATAATAAATGAATGTGCACTGTGATAAGTCCGTCGCCTAATCGCATGGATTCAAACTGGCGCAGCGAGGGCGTGTGCGGTAGGGCGTCAGCTAGGCTTGTGACGTTGTCACAAAAGTCAAACAAAGCAAACGGTCGAGGAAGTTAGAGATAAACGGGCAAAACGGACGCCGCCCATTTGCGACGCAAAATTATGCTTAATTAAATCAAAATAGTATGATTGCTTGGTGAAGCGGAACTTACATGCACTTCGCTCGGGGTCATTGCCGAAACGAACAAATCATTTTCATGCTCCAATGTTACACTGCCCGGCGCTGGCACCTCCTCCTCATCGGATGCACCGGACGCTGAGCCATTATTAATGTCAACATCCGCAAATTCTCTGTTGTGTTCAGGTGTCGTTGTTTCGACTTCCATTGCGACACGAGTCAATATTACTATTAATTAAATGCGTTGCGGTACTCGTGCTCTAATTGTAATTATTGGAATTCTTTTCTTTTTTTTTTTTGTCGACCTACTCGATAGCTGCAAGACAATGGCTGTAGCAATAATATCGATATCTTAAGTGCAGTTTAAGCGTGACCAGCATTCGAAAAAGCTCACTCACTCGAATTGAAATATATACTAACAGCTTAAAATACTAAGCTAATATTTGAACGTATTTATTTATTGAATTATAAACATTATACGTTACTGGACCTTTTGATTGGCCGATATCCAGGATATAAACGAAGACACCTGGACGTAGACAGATGGTGAGTTGGCCTGTCCGCATGGCAACTTGCCCCAGGATACGATTCCAATCAGAACATTACCCTGAACCAAAGGACCACCAGAATCCGAAGTGCAGATACTAACTCCTCCAGTTAGAGGGCCAGTGCACAAGTTAGTGCTGTGTACATCTTTGCCCTTTGAGCCTAATGCAGATTCGCAGGACGCCAGGCTGATGATGGGAACATTTGCAGCTACTTGAAGAACGCTGGGATACGATGCCGTATTTGTAGTCGAGGTACTTCCCCATCCATATAGGTTTGCCTTGCCAGTGGGCACCACACCCGACTTGGGCAAGCTCACAGCCGCCACAGCAGCGGTCCAAGTGAAGGCAGTGGGAGTATAAACCAATCCAATGTCATAGGGAACAGTTCCGCCCGTGTAAAGGTCGTTGACAACAAAATAGGTAATACTACGCTTTTGGGTGGTGGATGCAGTTCCTGCAACTGCATTGCTGCCGGCGACTAGCGTGCTCCCAAGGACCTGCGCACTGTTGGTTAAGCAATGAGCGGCAGTTACCAGCCAGTTGGCGCTTATAATGCTGGCAGCGCAGTAGTGGGTATTTTGGTACTGCATGGACACCGCGTATGGAGCACTGTTAGTTGATGCTGCAACTCCGCCCACAACTCGTCCATTGGGCCCAGCTTGGTCCGTGGATGCTTTAACGACAGCCGCAGATACATGGCAGAAGCCAAAGAAGAGGCAACATGCAATCAGATATAAGCTTGAAGTCTTTTGACCGCTCAGCGACATGGTTTCCGAGAAACTGTTTACAAATGGCTTTATCGAGTGCCGTTTAAATTAAAAACGAGATACGAAATGTCACGCTTTTAGCAGTGATAAGAATTTTCAATTTGCGCCTTTGTACTTTATAGATAAGCGCCTATTTTAATTGGAAGGGTGGGTAGATTAATTATAAGAACTATCTAGGAAGAGACAAATTATTAGAATACGGTCTATGTAAACAATTTATAGTATGTACATACATATTTCATTTGAACTGGAACCAATTGACAGATAAGTCAAAAGTCAAGTGATTTCTAAACAATAATATTCATCAGACGATAGGCATTAATAACTTATCAAAAGCTTTGTACAATAAAAAAAAAACAAATTTTTGAAATTGTGTCAGTTGACTGATGCTTGGAGCAGTATTCATTTTGGTATTTCTAATCGGCAAAAAGTTGGTATTATTGGCTACGAAATCAATTATCGATATAGTATATCGATAGCCATCCCTACAACTGACTCAGATCGACTTGGTGGCTGACTTTTTCTACGAAAATTTTGTTAATACTACTACGTAAATCATTGGACTTAGCGTTACGCAAAACCAGACTAAAAAAGTGCGGGCGACTATATATACATACATATACACATAAACAAAGTGCAACGTGTGCAGCAGAAGCCGCATAAGTAACACGCCCCAATAGCAAAACAAAAGGTGGAGAGAGTGTACAAGAGAGAGGCGAGGAGAGGTCAGCAAACCCGCAATTAAGAAAAAGTCGACACGTACAAGAGTTGAAACAGCAGCAGCAGCGGCCGCACCAACAAAAATAGTAAACATGTCATCCGGCGATTTTGGCAATCCGTTGCGAAAATTCAAATTGGTGTTCCTCGGCGAGCAAAGTGTGGGGAAAACGTCGCTGATTACACGGTTCATGTATGACAGTTTTGACAACACCTACCAGGCGACAATTGGTATTGATTTTCTATCTAAAACGATGTACCTGGAGGATCGGACTGTGCGATTGCAATTATGGGATACGGCGGGTCAGGAGCGTTTCCGTTCGCTAATTCCCTCCTATATACGCGACTCGACAGTCGCTGTGGTTGTCTACGATATCACGAACACAAACTCATTCCATCAGACCTCCAAATGGATCGATGATGTGCGCACGGAGCGTGGCAGTGATGTCATCATCATGTTGGTGGGCAACAAAACGGATCTGTCTGACAAACGTCAAGTGTCCACCGAGGAGGGTGAGCGCAAGGCGAAAGAGCTAAATGTGATGTTCATCGAGACCAGCGCCAAGGCCGGTTACAATGTGAAACAATTGTTTAGGCGCGTCGCGGCGGCGCTGCCCGGCATGGACTCCACGGAGAACAAGCCATCTGAGGATATGCAAGAGGTTGTGCTTAAAGATTCGCCCAATGAGACTAAGGATCCCGAAGGTGGTTGTGCCTGCTAGAACTGGGCACTTACCCAATTACCCCTCAGCTCCCTCCCAACCACTACCACTACCACCACTAGCCTACTATCCGCACAACCTTCGCTGCAACCTCGAAAAGATTCACACATTGACACACACGCTGGCGCGACGGGGTTTATAACAGGTGTATGTGGGCAACAGGCTAAAGATGAACATGCAACAGAAAACAGAAACCAGGCTAAACATGAGATGCAGACATACACACAATTTTATGTTTAAGTTTATTTATAAAAAATAACTAAAAACAAGAGTATAAAACAAAATCATAGCAAAACATAAATAGACTAAAAACTAATTTAACGCAATCGGCTAACTATGTACGTTAAATGCATTGCATTGCAATATATAAGTATGCGCCAAATCCTAATCTCCAAGCTAAGAGTTAAGCTCTGTTCAGACGTACCCAACAACTGGGAAAAACTAAGTTATTTCCTGTTCCCATGTAGAGCGCAATGACAGTGGTCACTCGCAAAGCGAAATGCTTCGCTTTCAGAACAGAACAAAAAAATAAATATAACATCTGGAATAATGAGGAGAAACGGAGAAAATGTCAAAGTATATATATCTTAAATCTAAAAGTTCTCATTTTCGAGTGACCACTGTATTATCACCATATAATATCTGGCATGAGCTATAGAAATAAAACAAATCATGTACTATTGGAATAATTTGTCTCTGGCAAATCTATGCCAGACTATGCCAAGCTCTAAGCATTCCCTAGCCAATCTGGCACGTGTGAGCTCAGCTTAACGAACTCTCCCAAATCTTGTACTTACAACAAAAGAAAAGAGACCAAACCTTGAGCACACGCAAGAACATTCCACATTGTGTACTGGTTGCCCCATTTTCCCCCCCCCGACAACAGATACCACTGAGCCAGCATGTGTTCAAGCCCCCAGAGCATAACCCAGAAAATGAGATCATATTAGGCACTGGCAGACCGATGTGGTTCCATTTATATGACTAAGCCCCGTTTTGTTTGCGGCTTTTGTTTGTTATTTTATTTTTGGTTGTATTCTGTGGAAGGCACGGCAGCTGCAGTTGGTTGGCGCAGAACTTGGCATCTTATGAGTAAATATATATATATGAATTTATAAATATATATATGTATTTTTATGGCAGTGTAAACAATTAACAATTTAAACAACATTAACAATTTTTTGCTTCGACTAGCGAGAGAACTTTGTGCATTTTTTACGCAACAAGCAAAAGCTTACAAAATTGAAATACGAAACGCAATTTTTAATAAATCAAATTATTAAACTAAACATAATAAGTATTAGCAATAAATTAAAAACAGAAAAAAAAAAAACTAAAAAGCAAGCTCTCATTCATTTATTATCCATGGAAAATGACAATTTCCAAAAGCTTTATGAATATCCACGATAAGCATGACGTCCCACTTACAAATTGATGGATAACTCGCATCTATATATAAAACAGTTCTGACAAGCTTAGAAGCCAGAAAAGCTGAATTTTTGATAGACGTGATTTGGAAGATCCGCCAGAGGTTCTGAAAAATGTGTTGCATACAAATTTTATTGCTGCTTTCGTAAGTGCAGTCAACTAGATTTGAAGAATTCTACAAGATGTATTACAACTTTAGCTAAATATCAATTATCTAGCCCAGGTTCATATCATAAGGTTCACAATTTGTCGGTCCTTGTTGGGACTATAATTTATTTGAGGATTTCATGAATGTAAGCGTAAAATACAACTGAAAAATGCCGGTCGTTTGCTTTGCAAAGCTAGGTATACATATGTTGGATATATAAATAGAGTATATTTTGATGGAGGAGCGTGACCTAGAAGTTATCCTCATTTGTGATATACTCGTCGCGTATCTTTTGCAGCTTGGTAATGAGTTCCGCTACAGACACTTCACCATGCACTTTGTTGTCACGGGTACGCACATTCACTGTGTTCGAGGACCGCTCCTTATCGCCCACCACCAAAATAAAATTGAATTGCGCCAGCTGAGCATTGCGTATCTTCTTGTTCATCGTATCGCCAGCATCGCAGTCGGCCTCGCTCATGAAGCCAGCGGCATAGAGCTGATCGCGCACAGACTTTGCATACTCATCGTAGGCGGGGCCCACCGGCACAACCATGACCTGTCGCGGCGAAAGCCAGAATGGCCATTTGCCGGCATAGTTCTCCGTGAGAATGGCAATCATGCGCTCCACAGAGCCAAGAATGGCGCGATGTATGATAACTGGGCGCTTCTTTTCGCCATCATCGGCAATGTAGTTGAGATTGAAGCGTATGGGCAACTGGAAGTCCAGCTGGATGGTAGCACACTGGAATGGACGCTTCAGTGCATCCATAATGGTAATATCAATTTTGGGGCCATAGAAAGCGCCATCGCCGGGATTCTCTTTCCACGGCATGCCGAACTCATTGAGTGATTCAGCCAATGCCTTTTCAGCGGCATCCCATTGCTCCAGCTCGCCCAAATACTTGTCTGGCCGTGTCGACAGCACCAGCTGGAAGGAGAAGCCAAAGATGGTGTACACATGACGCAAGAAGTCCAAACAGCCCTTCATCTCGCTCTTGATCTGTTCCGGCGCACAGAAGATGTGTGCATCATCCTGCTGGAAACGGCGAACACGTGTCAGGCCAGTCAATGCGCCGGACAGTTCGTTGCGATGAAGCACACCAAAGTCAGCCATGCGCAGTGGCAGCTCGCGCCACGACCGATTGCGATTGTCGAAGATCAGGCAATGACCGGGACAATTCATTGGCTTCAGCGCAAACTTCTCCTTTTCCGCCTCAAATGAGAACATGTTGTCCGCATAGTGCTGCCAGTGGCCGGATGTCATCCACAGTTTGGCATTGTAGATATTTGGCGAGATGACCTCCTGGAATCCGCGCTTTCTGTACTCGCCCCGAATCAAATTCATCAGCGTGTTGTAGATGTGTGCGCCTCGAGGCTGAAAGAAGCACGAGCCCGGGGAGAGTTCATGGAAAAAGAAGAGCTCCTGCTCCCGACCAATCTTGCGATGATCACGTTTTGCTGCCTCCTCCTGCAGTTTCTCCCATTCCTTTAGCTGCTTGGGATCCGGGAATGATATGCCATAGACGCGTTGTAGTGTCTCCGCATCAGCTTTGCCTTCCCAATAGGTTGAGGAGTTTTTGGTGATCTTCAAGGCCTTAACCTTGCCGGTGTGACGCACATGCGGACCGCGACACAGGTCGATCAAGGAGCCGCACTTATAGACCGTGGTTCGATCTGTGGTTACCTTTTCATTGAGAATTCGCACCTTAAACTCATTGTACTTGAACATTTCCAGCAGATCGGATTTCTTCATCTCCAGTCGCTCGAAGTTTTGCTTCTCCTTGACAATCTGCTTGACCAGCGTCTCCATGGTGCCGTAATCATTCGTAGAGATCTAAGCACAAATATTGGTTAATGGCTAGATAAATGATTTGAAGATGAGCTGCTTACGCCTTCGCCTTCCAAATGCATGTCGTAGTAGAATCCACTCTCAATGGGCGGGCCGTAGCACAGATGTCCACCATAGATGCGCTCCATGGCCTCGCCCATAATGTGGGCAGAGCTGTGCCAGAAGACGGCTTGTGCATCCGGATCATCAAATTTGAGCAGCTGCAGACTGCAATCGCCCTCTAGAACGCGATCCAAATCCCAAACCTCGCCATTTACCTTCGATATAATGGTATTATCGGCCAGACCCTGGCTAATGCCGCGTGCTACATCGTAGGGCGTGGTCTCCCAAGAGGTAGCATCCACCTGTTTACCATCGGGCAGTGTTACTTTGATGGCCACACGCGGCTTGGCAGCCAGCTCGGCAAGATACTCGGCCTTGCATTTCTCCCAGAATACGTTGCGCTCCTCAATGTACTTTGGCCACGGATTAAGTTCTGCGTGAGAGGTTATGATACGATTGCGTTTTCAGATTCTGTAAAAGCTAACAGACAGCTTCTTTGGGCAAAAAATATGAAGCCTACCCTTGCAGAGGTCGTATTTCTATATAATATACGTGTCATAGGAAATTTTGTATAACCTATTTTATTCGAATCGGAAAAGGGTTTGTATTACAATATTATATATAGTATATGTCTGCAAGGGTATTTATGCCTCGGTACACCCGAGTAAATAGTTTATGTTTTTAATACTTTTGGCATATCTTATAAGCGGACATCACTCAAGTAAGCTTTCACTGTATTATTTAATTACCTTTACGACTGTCGCCGCCGCCTGCAGCTGGCTTCTCCTTTTTCTCCTTCTTCATTTTAGCTGCCTGCAATTGTGTATGAAAAAAAATCAATAAATCGCCAAGGCGTAATAAATATACATCATATAAATCAGAAAGTGTATCAAACTTCTTTTAGCTACGTGGGCAACGTACACAGTTAAGAAAGCAATTATTTGTAATGAATTTTCGGTGTCACTGTTTTTGTTTTGTCGTTTACACAGTTGTCACCAAAAAGCAAATGACAATAAGAATAACTGTTTTTGGTTCTTTGCTTTATCTACTTTCGAAAGAAACTGATGCAATGAAGCACACGAGTTTAGTCAGCATTTGGGGGCAGGAGGGGTGGCGTAACAATTGCAGTTGAATTTAGTGACGTCACAACAGCAGCCGCCGGCTGTGATTCATTTTGGCATTTGGTAGACACACATGACAATAAAACGATCACACACACACACAAGCACACGCAACATGCCCAGGTGAATATGATGTGGCATTTAACAGTTAAATAGATAGAAACACAATTGCGAGCGGAAAACCAACCAAAGTTGCGTAGCACCGACTGCTGCGTATGCCCTGCTGTTGAGGTTGTATAAACTGCTGTTGATTTTTGGCCAACGATGGCACTCGTATATTGTGCACAGTTTTACAGTTGCTGCCTCTAAATGCAACAACGAACGGCAACACTTTTAACATAACTTAATTACGTTTATGTTCTTATACACACGAATGCAATTGCAAGGATTTTAACATGCCTTTTGCTTATTCAAATCCAAATTATTTAATTCCGACACCACGTTGTCACCCATTCCGATTCCACGTTGTTGTTGCTATTGCAGCACGCTGTGTCTGTTAAGCCAAAAGGTATCCAAATGTTATTAACAGCGGCGGCAAATAGTTAATGGAAATGCTGTAGCTACTCGTTTTTATCCTAAGATAATATTTGAAGGCTTGTATTATAAACAAATTTTTTAATGTAACTACTTTTAACAAAAGCAACTATATAGACTGAGTATTAAAATTAACAGAAGCCGGCAACATATTGTTTTGAAAGAGGAAGGCGACTGACTGGGGAGCGCAGCATTGCCAACAGTAAAGTAGGTAACTATCGAAAAGCTGAAGGGTAATCGATAGTCCCAGCTGTTTTTTAATTGGCGCCAATTCGAACTCGAATGTCCTACATTCGTAGTTAATATTGATTTTTAACCTGCTGACATAATTAATGTCCTGGTGTTTATTTTCGATACAATTACGTAGAGTAAACGTATTTTTTAGACTGCGGTTGCCCAAAAAGCCAACAAAATTGCACATTTACTTGAAAACCCGTTGCACCACCAACCACCGCTTTCGGGTGGCACAGCGGAACGTCTTGGCGTAGAATTCGATTTCTACAACGTGGCCTCCAGCAAGGTACACCCCAGTCCGGGGGCAGCGCGCAGCGTTTGGGCGCTGCCCCTGACGGCCTCCTCGTCATGCAACATGGAGGAGGATGGTCACGCCCATGCGGACATTGACATTGACATCGATCATCGTCCGCACTCGCCGCCGGGCACCAACGGGCCAGCCAACAATGGAGAGGGCAGCGAGCACGACAGCAACATGCTGTTATTTGAGGGCTTGGACGGCGCCACCGTTAATCTGGA